ATGGCGACGGACAAGACATGCACCTGCGTTGAGGAGCGTTTCTTGGCTGGATCTTGTCCCTGTACCTAGAGGCTCCATAGTAGCTCCTTTTTGGGGTTCATAATTAGAATCCTATAAGGTAATCCCAAAAAGGAACTACTATGGAGCCTATGGGTAGGACATTTTATAACTACATACTTTCACTTTCAAACCATCCCTGCTCCGACCGTGCAGGATATCTATTAGGCCTGATTCCGGTGGCCTGCAAAGCACACAAGCATAGTCGGAACTTGCAGTGCTTATCCGTATTATTTGATCCGCTAAGACTCGTCTTTTGAGGCGCAACAGTGTGCGCGAAATTAATGGCACAGTAAGACAAGTTCCCAATTTTGATGGTCGAAGTTATACCCCCCCCCTTACTTGCTGTTGGACGGTGGGCCTCGGAGCTGTGCAAAAGAGCAAATACAGAAGAATAGTCCACTGCTTGCTTCATAATTCTTCAGGATTTCCATTGGGTACTGTAAGCCGGGCCGCTCGAGCATTTCCTGAGTTCAGCGCCGCAACATCTGGACCTTTGCAAAATATCATCCAAAGTATCAGGCCTGGGTTGGTGGTTTGGGAATCGGGTGTTTGCTCTCGGGTGTGTTGCTGAATGAAAACAAACTCCTCAACACTCAGATGCTTCCGATGTGGCGAGGCCAGAACAGAACAGCTTTTGTCTTAAATTGCTGTGTTCATGTACTCGGGACGCCTGTTCGTTTGATCCTAGGATCCAGAATTTCGAAAAGCCAAATCGCTAGGCCCCTGTAAACGTTTCGCACAATCCGTCTCTGAACTCATACGCAACGTTTTCAAAACCTCGAATCGTGAACCAGCAGTCGTTCAACCCACCTAAACACTATACCTGCTATCATGCCCAGTAGTACCCTTATTCCCTTTTTGTAGTCCTAGGTTCCTTATAATTATAAAGTTACCCAATACCAAAAAGAGAGGCCTTTTTATTCTTAGGTTATTGGGTATCCTAGTATACCTGCAACCCCTGAACATCGTCCTCGCGGCATGAAGGCCTAAGCCTGGGCTAGGGAGTACCATACTTGAATGTTGTTTGCTTAAGGGAACCGTTCTGAGATCAAAGTGTATACTTTTTTCTCCCTCGTTTCTTAAAAGCCCAGAATCCGTACCCTGAGGATCCAAGTATTCACATGGTAGGAGGTTGGGTTGACATAGGGTTCCGATGCTTCTTAAACTTCAAAAGTAATTTCAATGATGTAGTTAAGACCCGAAGTTCATATCGGGTACCTGCACCCCCTCTGGCATGGATGTCCAGCTTCATGAATCTTGAACACCCTCTTTTAAATTCGCCACCCGAAAGCCGCATCCACACGATCGGAACCTACACGAACCCTTGTAAACCCTGTAGACATCTAGACCCCAACCGCCTCAACCGTAACAAAACCCTAAGCTTCAAAACTTACATAACCCCGCATCCTTTGCGGACTGTACCTCACAGAGCCCAGCTAGTGAAGGATTTTGACTTGAATGGTTTCGCACGGGTTCTGGCCGCCTTTGAGCCCGGAAACCCGTACGGAGCCCTCATTACCAAATACAGCAACAGCCACGGCTTAGGGTTTAGGGTTTAGGGTTAACACACGAACCTGGATACCGTCTCTATAGCACAGCCTGGAGGTGATTACCCTGAGCCGAGGTGCCAAGGCCGTGACGAGCCAGGACTCGCCCAGTATCGACATGGACTTCATGGAAAAGGGGGCGTTAGAGGTGTCCACACATGCAAAAGTCAGGTTTAAGGGGAGGGGTGGGGATTGGGTTTGAGGAGTTTTCTCTCGGTGTAATGGTGAAATTTGATTACAAATTTCAGCATCATAGTACGAGCAAAGCAGAAGTAGTAGTAGTAGTAGTAGTAGTAGTAGTAGTAGTAGTAGTAGTAGTAGTAGTAGTAGTAGTAGTAGTAGTAGTAGTGGTAGCAGTGGTAGTAGTGGTAGTGGTCGTCGTCGTAGTAGTAGTAGTAGTAGTAGTAGTAGTAAAAGGTACTAGTAGCAGTAACAGTCGCGGTCTCTGTGGCAGTGGCAGTGGAGTAGTAGTAGCAGTAGTAGTAGTAGTAGTAGTAGTAGTAGTAGCAGTAGTAGCAGTAGTAGTAGTAGTCGTCGTCGTAGTAGTAGTTGCTATTATTATTAGTAGTAGTAATTAGAAGTAGTGGTGGCAGTAGTAGTAGTCGTCGGCGTCGTAGTTGCCTGAACCTAAACCCTAATCCTAAGAGGGATAAGCCACCTCCGGAATATCCAGCTTCACGTCTTTTGGTTGTTTAGAGCTTTATTTAGGGTTTTAAGGCATTAGGATGAGTTAGGGCTTGAGAGTTTTATGCGGACAACTTCGCATTTGGCTCCACAGACGGTTAGTTTCAACCTTGACACAAAGTCACGACAACGGAAGCTAACCCAATATCTTAAAGCTCTTACATCCCCAATACCTAACCTTTAAACTTTTTGGGTTCTTATAGTTTAGTAGGAATCGGAAAGTTTAACCTTGTATTTCTGTGGCTTCTTGGGATAGTAAGAGCTGCAATCATTCTCAGGCCAACAGTGCAACCCCCTTCGAGTTCAACTTCTACGATCGCGGGAATTGGGGCATCATCCTTCATTGCTGGTGCCTCAATGCAACTTTATTCAGCAACGTGTGTGTGTGCTTGCTTATGTTTCAGATCCGGACTACTGTTTTAGTGGAGACACTTCACATCAGGCTGTTTAGGGATTTTAGACTTCTAGGGGTGGCATACATAGCTGCAGCGTTGAATTTAGAAAGGGGGACGTGGGGCTGTAGCTAGGTCGCTCAGCATAAGCCCGAGAAACCATGCATAAAACTGAGCGGATCCGTAAACCCTTAAACCCGAAACTGTCAATCCTAGCTCCTAAGGTTTGGATTGACAGTCCTTGGGAAACTTGAACACAGGCAGAACCGTGTCATGCGTCACATCGAAAGCCGACGAAATGTTAGGTTCGCAGACCATAATGAGTCGTAGGATGTGCATAATACATATATATATATATATATATATACACACACATATATATATATATGAATACATATACAGAGGACAGTAGGTTGTTGGGTTTGGTAAGTTTGGTGCTTGGGGATGCTTGAGGGTTTCGGACCTACAGGTTGGATTTAATGAATCTTGGGGGCCATTTGGGGACTTTGATTGCTTGGAGATCTTTGAGGCGATGTCGGGCGCTACAGTCCACACGTATTTAAATCTGAAGGTATACGCCCTAAAACTTGGACTCCCGTAGCCTCCAAAGCACCTTTATGGTAAAATGTAGGGTTTCTATAACAGGAAGTAATACTATGATTTGGGGAAGTATTCCCCATAACTGCACCTAGGACCCTTTGGGACTGTCTGAGTTGCGGTCCAAGAGCTTGACACCTTTGTGGCGTGGGGCTTAGGGCTTAGGGTTTAGGGTATAGCGTGGGGCTTGGTGATCCCACATAGTGCCACAGAAGCGCTGAACCTGAATGAAACCTGGGCTAGGGAACCCTAAACCCTAAATCAGCAGAGTTGCCCTAAGGGAGCCTTTCGGACTCGCTGATAGTACGGTCACCACAAAGAGGATGCGATTCTTTCATTGCGTAGTTGGAGCCATGAAGGCTAGCGGAGGAGCCACGGTTTAGGGTTTAGGGTTTAGGGTAGCTCCGAAGAATGAGAGATTATGTACGGCCATCAGTCAACCAGCCAGAGATAGAATGGACGCACAATCATAGCTCTGCTTAAAGATCTTCGAGTCTCCATCGATCCATGCCTGAATGTCATACTTCTAAACCCGGTCCCAAAGCCTTAAACCCTATATATCCCTTTCAGAGCCCTATATAGATACCTTTAGAAGATTAACCCAGGCCGCGAACACTACAGGGGTCTGAATGGTGAGTGATATTAAAGTTTAGTAGGAATCGGAAAGTTTAACCTTGTATTTCTATGGCTTATTGGGCCAGTAAGTATAAGGCCCTTCTAGTGGCTCCTAGACTGGCTTCGGGATGTAGGCACAGCGCAGGTGTTCGGGCTTCGTATCTGGAGGCTTCAGCGCCTTCCTCATGGGCTGCTTTGGCTACGAGGGCTCACCGCGTAATATAGGGGCCTAAACAATTACCAATACTATTGTCGGGGCTCCTTATTATAATTATAGTATAATGGGTCCAAAAACCCTAGTCTAATTATTAAGGCCCCTACATTCCTCTGATATTTCTCGTTAAGAGGTAATTCGGGGTTACAATAAAGGGCAGTTGGGGGGTCCAGGTTAGCCCCAAGCTTTAGAGAATCTCATGTGCCAGATCGCCGGTTGTTGGAGCCACCGGTAGCGTTGCAGGTTTACCTCATGGCTGCATTGTTTGTCTGTGTATGTGCATTTCGAGCTCCTTTGGGAACTGCTGGGCACATCTCTGTTGCTCCACCCTATTGTTTGGCATATGGAGTTATGAAATAGAATATGCTGCATATGATTTCAATATACTACATGCTTTTAACATGCTGAAGTCTGATTTAGTATTTGGGGTTCCTGAAGGACCAAATGACCCTTAGAAGTAGGGGCCCCATACCCACATACTATGAATCCCTATATGGTATATGAAGCTTAAACCCTTTTAGGGTTCATTTCGCCCTTAAGGTTGAGGGTGCTTCTGTCGGGTGGTATGTTGTATCTGACATGTAGGGTTTACGCCGTTGACGCCTGGGATTTCGTGTACTGGACTCTATAAACCCTGAAGCCCCAAGGCCCTAAACCCCAAAACCCTTAAGCCTAAAGCTCTCCTAAACCATAAACCCTAAACCCTTAACCCTAAAGCTCTCCTAAACCATCGTAGGGTGTAGGGCTTTCAAGCATTCTTGCTTGGTGTCTTGGACGTGTACCACCACCAAACATCTGTCGCAAACAAGGAGTGGTTGCTGGCTATTTGAATGTCAACGCAGACATCATCCGAGGCCGTTTCTTCTTTTTGTTGGGTTTCCGATAGGTTACCTGTGTATGGGGTTTTCTGTAGGTTTAACTGGTGTGTTTGGTTTGCAAGTTGCAATGTCTGTATTTTTATTGTAGTTAGTTATATATGGCTCTTTCAGACGTGCTGTTGTAATATTATCCACCCCGGCCTAGACCCTCAAACCCGACAGCCCAAGCCTTGAATATTTAAGCTTTAAGCCCTATAGACCCTAGAGACCCAAACCCTAAGCCCTACACTCTTCAACCCTAAACTCAACGGCAAGAACTCCAAACCCTAAACCTGAATCTTAGACCCCCTTAACCCCAGACCCTCAAGCCCTTAACCTGTAAAGCTTGAAAGCTTAAACCCACCTCTCAAACCTTAAACCTGAAGCCCTCCCACAGAACATCTCCACCATAGCAGCTTGCTACCATAATCACGATTCGGACTTCAGGTTTAACCTCAGCATTCAAACCCCCAACTTTTGAAACAAGGTCTAAACTAACCCTAAGCCCTAAGCCCTGGGCTCTTCGCCCTGAACCTTCCAACCATATTGTATACCCATAGGCCCAGTAGTAGTTCCTTTTTGGGATTACCTTATAGGCTTCTAAATTTGAACCCCAAAAAGGAACTACTATGGGGCCTATGGGTAGGGGCCCGAACCTAAACCTACAGTAAACCCTCAACGGGTTCCAAGACGTCGCGGCGCTTAGATAAAAGGGACCGAGAAGGATCATCAACTAAACCCTAAACCCTGGACCCAAAGCCCCAAAAACCCCAAAGCCCTAAACCCTAAACCCTAAAGCTCTCCTAAACCATAAACCCTAAAGCCCTAAACCCCACAACTTCACAACCCTAAACCCGAAACCCTAAACCCCAAAAAGCTCGAACCAGAGGTCTTCAGAACATGTCCTCGCTGCCGAATGTCTTCTCAATCCTCATGGGTATCGTGTCGGACTCCCGCCCAATTTTCGGATACTCGGATGCCCAGTAGTGCCCTTATTCCTTTTTTATAGTCCTAGGTTCCTTATAAAGTTACCCAATACCAAAAAAAGAGGCCTGTTTATTCTTAGGATACTGGGTATCCTAGAATAGGGGACCCCTAATATAGTACCCTAAATAGTAGGATCCTTATTATAAGGACCCCACAATAAGGTACCCCTAGTTCTTAGGTTACTGGGTATCCTAGGATATCGACGCCGGCCCTACCTGGTGTTTCTTGGATAGCCAATCGGAGAACTTTAAAGTTTTTCACCGTACATATTTGGTCTAGTTAGGAAAGAAAGATTGAAGTTTTTTGGGGGCCGGTGATTGGAAAAGAGAGGTTTGGATGGATTATGAGCACAACTGCTTACTCCATTATGGCTGTGATGGGGCTCCCTGAGCCCTACTACTGCGTGGGACCGGATGGTGACCTATTGGCTGTAACCACAACTTTTCAACTTTGGGGGTTCGTATGAGGTAGTCGATTCTGAAAATTTCAACTTTCGTTTCCTTGGGTTTTCGGCCACTGAGGTGACTACCTTCTTGATCAGGAGCCCTGCAATCCAGATGCTGACCAGTACCTACGCGGTTTTGAATCGTTTTTGTGACATTCCAGTACAGTATCGTCTGAAGCAGTCGCGCACATGTACATATATATATATATATATATACACATACATATGAACAATATACAACTGAATGAAACAGAACACCCCAGGATTAGTGATTACGGGTCAGAGCCTCCCCTACTTGCTAAACCCTATGTCCATAGATTGATGGAGCCCTGAACCCCTTGTGGAACCTTATGAAACCTTACAGGTACTATGTGCCCCTGATGATCTGTCTCTTCACCGCCAACATCGGGCTCTTAGTGAGCGGGTCTGCCGGGCGGGGGCTGATGGTCGAGTATGCCAAGGCAGAAGCCGAGGAGCCAGCGGACAACATGTGCATCGTCATCACTTGCGACATAGTAGAAAAACAGTGGCTGTGCATGCATGCATGCATAAGTTTTAATGCCTACACACGTACATACAAATGTATGTTTGCATTCTCATGCTTACATACTCACATACATACATCCATACATGTATGGATGCGTACATGCATACATGCATACACAATAATGTGGCGGTCGGTTTAGCAGTAGGGTACCCCCCCCCCCCGACTAAAAAGTTGCGGTCGGTTTAGTATGGAACCGGTAGCCCCGGACAGGGGTCAGGGGTCTGAGTGGCAGGGAATTGGGAGGTGCCGGGGTTTGGGGGGTTGGCTTGGGTGCAGGGTCTGCGGTTCTGCGCGAATGCGCGGTCGGGGGTCGGGGGGGTCTGGGGATCACCAAATGCTGGAAACCAAGCCCCGATCACTCCAAGACTACTACCAAGACTAAAAACCCTTCATTTTGAACACTTTTGCCTCCGTAACCTACACTCACACACACTCCCACCCACAATCGACCACGTCTGAAGCTTTGTGCGGTACAATAGTAGTACAGTAGTACAATGGTAGTACAGCAGAAATAAGACAGTAGTAGTACAATAGTAGTACAATAATAGTGCAGTAGTACAATAGTAATACAACAGTAGTACAGTGGTAGCACAATAGTAGTACAGTAGTAGTAGTAGTACAATAATAGTACAGTAGTACAATAATAGTACAGTAGTACAATAGTAGCACAATAGTAGTACAGTAGTAGTACGATAATAGTACAGTAATACAATAGTAGTACAGTAGTAGTACAGTAGTAGTACAATAATAGTGCAGTAGTACAATAGTAACACAACAGTAGTGCAGTGGTAGTACAATAGTAGTACAGTAGTAGTACGATTATAGTACCGTAGTACAATAGTAGTACAGTAGTAGTACACTAGTAATGCAGTACTACAATAGTAATACAACAGTAGTACAGTGGTAGTACAATAGTAGTACAGTAGTAGTACAATAGTTGTACAGTAGTACAATGTAGTACAGTAATAGTACAGTGGTAGTACAATATTACAGTAGTACACTAGTAGTACAGTAGTAGTACAACAGTAGTACAGTAGTACAGTAGTAATACTGTAATAGTACAGAAATAATACCAATAAGCAAAGCATAAAGCCAGTGAGCACATTCCCCCAATAAGCAAAGCATAAAGCCAGCGCCTGAAACCCTAAACCCTAAACCCTGAACCCTAAACCCTAACAAACCCTAAACCCTAACGAACCCTAAACTCCTAAACCCTAACAAACCCTAAACCCTAAGACCTAAACCCTTCCCAAAGGGGGGTCGGTCCAGATTGGACCCAAAATTGAATTTTTTATACAAACTTTAGTACTGGAGAGGCCTCTTTTGAGCTAGGGTCCAATCCCGGATTCGGCGGTTCACCCTAGCAGCCCCCCCCAATAAGCAAGGCATACAGTAGCAGTACAATAGTACAATAGGAGTACAGTAGTAGTACAGAGTCCCATTCCTGACGCCCCAATAAGCGAAACAATTCTGCAAGAGATTTTCGGGCTTCAGGGCCAGGGTTTTAGGGTTGGGTGGGGGTTTGGGTGGGGGTTTAGGTCGTGGCTGCCTTAAGATTGACCATCAGCAAACAGCATAGCCCCGCCCCCAAAAAATCCCCCCAGCCAAAAAAAAACGCATTAATTAGACCGCCCAAATTTTTGGTGCCGGTCGGAATTAGCCCCGGAGAAAACGCATTAAAGGAGCCCATGCTCCTAAACCGACCGGCACATTACATACATACACGCACACGCATACATACACGGATTTTTACGCACATACATACCAAGATCCTTGCAATTTAAGCCCTCATCGTCCAAGTCCCTAAACTGTCAACTTGTCAAACGTTAGGCCAGAAAGCACATTGCTACTGTGACTCAATCGTGTTTATCTCGAGCCTGGAGGCTGGAGGCCCTCACATACCGATAGGCTCCATAGTAGTTCCTTTTTGGGATTACCTTATAGGATTCTAAATATGAACCCCAAAAAGGAACTACTATGGAGCCTCTAGGTAGAAGCCCATGTTTAACATAGTAACCCAAGCATCCCACGCAGTAACCGTAACCGTTATGGTATCCATTAAAAGGAGCGCCGGGGTCGAACGCAGACAGTCCTTTCCATGGTCGGCTTGGTCGGCCAATTCTCGTCGCTGCTGGTGGCCGGCTTCGGCTTCAACGGAAGGCTCTTCAACGGCACCTGGGATCAACGCTACCAGCTTGGCTTCAGACAGTACCTGTGGCTGCAAATATCTACTAGGTTTTTGTGGGCGGGGTCGTTACCCAGAAGCAAGAGCTCATACCCTTCAATACTACAAAGTCTTCAAAGTGGCTCCAGGTACGTTTCCATCTTCGCCGTCGCATCCCTGATTGCCGGCTTGTTCTGCATTCGCCATGCTCTGAGGTTGCAACCCAATGTCCAAATGGGTAGTTCTTCAAGTTAGGATCCCTTTACCGTTCTTTTGACAAGGGTGCCGTACTACTTTGGGGACCTCGAAAGGTGCCCTAATTTAGAGAACTGCTCGAATGTTGGTACTACCGCTATCACCACTATCCTTGCTATTGTTGCTGGCCGAATTAGTGTTGTCATTAGTGTGCTTAGATACGTAGTAGCATGATGGGATATGATGGACATACATATATATGTATATATATATATATATGTATAGGTATATATGTAGAAACGTACATCTGCACATACATACACGCGTACAATCATGTATACATAGGCGTGAAGCTGCAACCCCAAAGCCTTACAGCCCTAAATCCTCAAGGCCCTAAGACTTCAAACACACAACCAAGGTTCGCGAGGGAGTAGGCGCAGATGTCTCGCTGCGGAAGTATTGTTGGCAAGCTTGGAGCCCTGTCGCGCACGGCGAAGCGGCAATGATCGGAGGCTTCAAAAGGTGGGATGAAGGTGGGTAGGATGAAGGATCCCTTATTTAAGAACTCATAATTGGGAATATCCCTCCTACCTTCATCCCACCTTTTGGAGGCCGAAAAAGGGGTTTTAGCCTATGGGGGTTTAGTAGGGATTAGGGTTCCCATAATAGGGTTGATATTAAGGAATCCCTACCCCCAAGAATCCCACCTTTTGAGGCTTCTGAAATGAGAGCTTTCACTCAGGGCCCTGGGTCGCTGCTTCGGATTGCGAAGAGGGTGTTGTTAGTTAGGTACGGCCCCCATACAGTAAGAGTCTATAATAGGACTACTATTAAGGTCCTAGTATATCTATATTATGAATATTATTCAACTATTACTGAGTGGGGGCCGTACCCAAGTTGTTAGCCCCTCTTTACTCAAAACTTCCGAACATCGTTGTTCCATTGTTGGTTTGATGTTGTGAGGGGGTGAGATCCTCCTTTGACTTCAGCATCTTCCCCGGTTCAAAGGGTTTGATTGCGACTTGGGGCAATCCCAAACCTTAGAAAGAGGTCTTAGATCCTAAAGCCTGAGCACCCGAGTGTGGGACAAGATATGCTGAAGCTTCCTACCTTCGCGGCTCAGAGGAGCATGAGGGAATCATTGTAGTTGTCTCGACCTCAAGCTGTGAAGCTTATATACCCTTTTCTATAAGGAGCCCTACAAAACAAGGACCCGAGCTCTTTCGGAGTTGGCACGGTGCTTCGACCTCGGCTTTAGCAGGAAACTGTTAAGGAAAGCCTGAGGGTTCGATTCTGCGACTTCCTTCACGAAGTCTGGCATGTCGATTGCAGTGGAAGTTAGACTGCTCAGCGGCAAAACAGCAAGTCTTACGGCAGGCCTGGATGAGACTGTCCAGACGTTGAGCCGACGCGCACAGATAGCACTTGGAGTCGGTAAAGGGCGCCTGCTGGACTCCGCTGGAGTTGTTCTGGATGGAAGCCAAGCGATGACAACCACTGGGATTCAGAATGGGAGCTCGCTGACATTGCACGTAAGTGCACTTAAAATTCAAGCCACTCGTGGTGCTTTTGCTGCCATCCTTGGCGATGGATCGGTTGTGACCTGGGGTAAGGCTAACAATGGCGGAGACAGCAGTGCTGTGCAGGGTCAGCTGAAGAATGTGCAGCAGGTCCAAGCCTCTGATGGTGCTTTCGCTGCCATCCTTGGCGATGGATCGGTCGTGACCTGGGGTGCTGCTTTGTATGGTGGCGACAGCAGCGCTGTACAGGGTCAGCTGAAGAATGTGCAGCAGATCCAAGTCTCCAGTCTTGCTTTTGCTGCCATCCTTGGCGATGGATCGGTTGTGACCTGGGGTAAGGCTGACAATGGCGGAGACAGCAGTGCTGTGTAGGGTCAGCTGAAGAATGTGCAACAGGTCCAAGCCTCTGATGGTGCTTTCGCTGCCATCCTTGGCGATGGATCGGTCGTGACCTGGGGTAAGGCTTTCTATGGTGGCGACAGCACCGCTGTACAGGGTCAGCTGAAGAATGTGCAACAGGTCCAAGCCTCTGTTGGTGCGTTCGCTGCCATCCTTGGCGATGGATCGATCGTGACCTGGGGTCCTGTTGTCTATGGTGGTGTCAGCAGCTCTGTACAGGGTCGGCTGAAGAATGTGCAGCAAATCCAAGCCTGTAGTGATGCTTTTGCTGCCATCCTTGGCGATGGATCGGTTGTGACCTGGGGTAAGGCTGACAATGGCGGAGACAGCAGTGCTGTGCAGGGTCAGCTGAAGAATGTGCAACAGGTCCAAGCCTCTTATGGTGCTTTCGCTGCCATCCTTGGCGATGGATCGGTCGTGACCTGGGGTTCTGCCTTGTATGGTGGCGACAGCACCGCTGTACAGGGTCAGCTGAAGAATGTGCAACAGGTCCAAGCCTCTGTTGGTGCGTTCGCTGCCATCCTTGGCGATGGATCGGTCGTGATCTGGGGTCCTGCTGAATCGGGTGGCAACGGCCGCGCTGTGCAGGGTCAGCTGCAGGATGTGCAGCAGGTCCAAGCCTCTGATGGTGCTTTCGCTGCCATCCTTGGCGATGGATCGGTCGTGACATGGGGTGCTGCTTTCTATGGTGGCGACAGCCGTGCTGTACAGGGTCAGCTGAAGAATGTGCATCAAGTCTGAGCCTGTGACTTTGCGTTTGCCGCCATTCTTATGATGGATCGGTGGTGACCTGGGGTGATGCCGAATCTGGTTTCGACAACAGTGCTGTGCAGGGTCAGCTGAAAGACGTGCAGCAGATCCAAACCTCTAGAGGCTGTAGCATTTGGGACTGCATTTTTTGTTTTCGCTTATAGGATTGAATTTTAGTGTACTACTGGGCTTTGGGGATTGCGCAGTATACTTCAAATCATGTTGTAATTCCTCCATAATTAGCCTGTGATAAAAACTCATCAGGGTTCTATCAAAACCTACCACTTCCGGCTTCAGTTCCCTATAATGACTTCCTTACATGAGTCCTTAAGGCTTTTTCGCTGGCAGCCCCTTTAAACCCTAACCCTAGGACCACCTCGAAGAAACCCTGGGTTCTCCAAGTCTCCGGGGCTTGCAAGATTGGGTGTTGTAGGGAAGCGCCCTACTTAAGAAGGCTGCTTGGTTTTGAGTGTTTATCAGGATTGAGGGCTTAGGTTTCTTGGCGATTAAGTAGGCTTTCGAAGAGCTTTGGGCTTGTGGGTTTGTGCCGGGCAATGACTCTGTTGTTTATCGGGATGCCCCGAAACCCCTGTACCCTAAAGTCTGTTGCAAGAGTGTTCATTCCTGCCAGGATTTCGATGAAGGGAGGATCCAACCGGTTGATGGCTCTTTGAGTTGCGTGCGTATGTGCTGGTGGTTGTTTAGGGGGTTTAAACGGTTTTGTTTAATTACTAAGTGTTAATGAGAGGATCTTTTATATTGATAGACCGGAAAGGACAGAGTCACATTCAGTGCTTGACTTCATGAGGAACTCACAAGGATGCATCTGTGTAAAGCCCTCTGCGGTAATCGCTCAGGATCTTTGTGGAGACCCAAACGAAAGGCTTTAGCCCTGAAGCCTAGATGCTCAACCCTTAAGAACCTAGCCCCCGAACTCAAAACCTAAACCGCCCAAGCCCTGCAAGTACATAAAGCCCCAACCCTGTTGAGAAGCGACAAGGATTCTAAAAATGCCATAAACATCAACAAAGGAGCCTAACAGTCTCCCTGAGACCTTATACTAACCTAAACGGCACTTGCTTTGGTGAGACGCTGGTCCCTCTGTAGCTGCACTATGATTTGCCCCAAAGCTTGCTTCCAAAAACCAAGGCCCCCTTTTGACTCCTATACCTACACATAAGGACTCCTTTATGGGATCTAGAATGGCTCCTTTAAGGAATCTATAAGGTGCCATAAGGGTTTAGGGTTTATAGGGTAGGGTTACAGGAGAAGCCAAAAAGTTGGAAAGCCAATAGCCTCAGTCCTTAAGAGTAATGTATAGGGAATCCCAGCACTATTTGTCCTTTATCAGGTTTCCAACTTTTTGGGGTTTACTATAAACCCGCCGGCTTGGGCTTGAGAGTCTTTCTGGGCATCCTAGCAGGCGTACCTGAGACAAACCAGACTTGCTTTTTTTTCCATGGGACGGGGTTTGCATGAGTTGTTGGCAAAGGGTTTCCAAGGATTTAGTTCAGGGGTGCTGAGTGTTTGGAATTGTTTTTCTCTTTTGCGCGTGGTCTGGCAGCGCTTGCTGGGGGCGATAGGTTTGTTTGACATGTAGGCACAATGACAGATCGTAACAGGATCGTTATAGGTTTCTAGTCTAGTGCTTATACGACACTGACAGGGAAGTAAAAACGAACTGGTAAGACCCGTGCATGACGCCCTGACCGACTACACCCAACCGCTGTAATCCTAAACCCTAGACCCTAAACCCCTCAACCCTGAAGCCCCAATCTCTGGCTTCCATCTGAATCTGAAGTCCTAAACCCGAACCCCTAAGCCCTAAACCCCAAAACCTAAACCCCAAACCCTAAACCCTAAACCTTAAACCCCAAACCCTAAACCCTAAACCCTAAACCCTAAACCCCAAGCACAGAAGCAAATCTAAAGCCTCCGAGCCCTGGAGCCGAAAAGACCTAAACTGTAGACAGCCCCACTGGCCCTATTGGGGTTTAGGGTTTAGGGTTTAGGGTTTAGGATTCAGGGGTTTAGGGTTTAGGGTTTAGGATTTAGGGTTTAGGGGTTTAGGGGTCTAGGGTTTAGGGGTTTAGGGGTTTAGGAAGGCTTAGGGCTTAGGGCTTAGGGTTCCTTGTAAAAGGTACCATTGGGTTCCTTCTAACGCATCTAGACCTGGAGGGTTAGGATTACTTTTTTTCAACCCTAAAACTCTGAAGCCTGCTGGAAAGCAGCAAAATCCTATTTGGAGGGTCGGGTACTTTATAGAGTCATAAAAATTACCCCAACTAGGATCCCATGTTGGGTACCCATACCTTTACTTACTACCTACTTACTAAGTCCCGACAACCCAAGTACGGCCTTGTTTTGACTGAGGAGTCTCTTTGAGAGCAAGGCAGTCGCTGCTGCTGGCCTCTACTTCTTCGTAAGGGCCATTCTCGCAAAAGTCTTTACGACTGCGAGCTTCTGGGTCATGATGGAAGCTCGGCTGTAATAATGGTAACTGAACCCACCCGCCCGGAGAATCACTCCAGAGACTGGCGAACATGGTGTCCGGTGGATGATAGATACCCCAAAGGCTCCATGTACCCTTATAGTAGATACTTAAGCTCCAAAGTCGTCCCTACATGGGTACTTTAAGGCCTAAGGACATACTATATGGGTACATGGAGCCTTAGGGTATATGAACTTTCATGAGCATTTTAATTAATAAACGGCAATGATCACTTTTAACTTTAGACCGAAGTGCGTCCTAGGGTTTTACAGGGTGGAACAAGGACTTCAAGGGGTCTGCATGCGTTTGTAAGGGGGTTCTGTAACTCAGAAAAGATGTAGAGGCGTTTCAGCTCAAGGCTGCAAGGGTTAAATTCTCTACATAAAGCTGAAAATATGGGGTTCTATACGTAAGTTGCCAAACCCGTCAAGAATTGCAACAGACACTGCAGGTAAAGGCCTTGAGCTATTGGAGTTTACGACTTTGGTTTTGAGGTTTGCGTTTTAGGGCTTTGGGGTTGTAGGGTTTAGGGTCTTGTTGGATGCTGACCTCAGCTCACTACACACATCGACCCACAGACAGATGTCATCCTGCATGCGCCACAATTCCCAAAGGCGGCCAAACCCAAAACCCTGAACCCTTGAAACTTCAAACTTTCTTCGTAGAAGAGTAGGTAACCTTTAGCCTTTCTGGGGGAACTACACTCCTTATATAATCCCAAAGGTTAACCTTTAGTCCCCTGGAACTCTGGACAGCTAAGAGAGAATTATTGCAGCGTTTCTCAGAGCTTGGCCAGTTGGCTGCCATGGTCTTCGGGTGCGTTGTGGTAGGGCAGGGCTTTCCTCAGGGGGGCGGGAGGTGGGGTTGGGGTTCTTCGTGGGCCAGAGTTTGCAAAAAAAGGACCAGCAAGCGCGACTTTCTTTTGGGGGTGGACCACTCGGAAGGTCGAGGAGATCTTAAGCATGCTGCTCGAACTACTTTGATTACAGGACGTTGTCTAAGCGTTTGAAAAGAGTTGTACTCTTGGCTGATGTGTCAGTGTTGTCCCTATTCGGGGAGATTGCTGACTTGGACAACGAGAGCTCAAGGCTCTTGTTAGGGTTTACGGTTTAGGGTTAGGGGTTAGGGTTTAGGGTTTAAGGGTTTAGGGTCGAACAACCCTAACGCAGAAAAGTCCTAAGCCCTAACCCTTACTAAGCTGTGGTTTGGTTGAATGAAAGCAGACACGACAATGCACTTACAGTCACTTACAAAACAACCCTAAAGCAGAAAAGGCCTCAACCGAACACCTTTACGAAACCTTCCGACTCCGCTCGAAACCCGACCGAATGCCTTTTTCGGAGGAGTGGGCCGGCGTGAAGAGCTTGCAAATGCTCCTCGAAGACCAGAAAGCATGGGGACCCTGAAGTGTTTCCGGGTGTTGTATAGGGTTTAGGGCTGAGGGCTAAAGTTGAGGGTGTTTCAGAGTTTAGGGTTTTATAGGGTTTTGGAAATTAGCTAATCAGGGTTGTAGTTTGGATTCAGGGTTTTAGGGTTGTTGGCCGGGAGCAACCTTCAACAACGGGAGTTTACTTTTTTGGTATTTCATTGGCTCAGGCACAACTATAGTATGCCAAAATACATCAAACATACCCAAGCCTTTATTTCAAATTGTACTTACAGATAACTTGAGCCGCACAGACTTCCCCAAGCCTCACCGGGTTCGAGGTTTAGGGTTTCGGATGCCTTTCGCTGTTCCTCAGGCAGTTGTGTTCCTTGCTTGGAGTCTTCGCGTCCTTGTTTGGCAGCTGGCTCTTGCAGAAGTACATGCTGAGCCTTGGCTGATGACGGGTTTTGGTTTTGGGTGGCTGGGTTGTAGGGTCTTAAAGTTTGGGGTTTAGTTGGCGTTTGAGGGTTTAGTTTAGGGCCCTGGGATTAGATGGCTCTTTTCAAGCATTTTGGTGGCCTGAGAAATTAGAATGGGGCTTTGACGTATACTATGGTATAAAGTACAAGTGCCTTCTTCAGGGAACTACACACGGGCGATGTCTTGAATGATTCGTTTTAAAAACCTATAAAGAATTTTTGTTGTTTACAAAACCTACACGGGCGATGTCTTGAATGATTCCTCTGACCTCCATCTAGGAGTTTCCGAAAATTAGGGGTACCTTATTTGGGGGTCCTTATAATAAGGATCCTACTAGTGAGGGTACTATATTAGGGTCCCCTATTTTCGGAAACTCCCATCTCAACTCTGCAGATCTTCTAAGCCTGCAGCCTGAGAGGTTCCCCGCATTGCAGCTACCAACGATATTTTTTTAGGGTGCCTTGCAATAAGAACCTTTTTAGAACACTACAGCAAAAGTCTCTTCTAATGAATAAAACCGAGTATTCTAATCTTAGGAGCAGTCGCTTTGCTGCCTGTCTAGTCTATCAGGCTTGTAGCATTTGGAGTTGGGGGTCATATTGTGGGGTTTAGTCCGACAACCAACCCTCTGCTATATGACTGAGCCAGGAATGTCAGCTGGCGAAAGATCATGCTGGTCGCCACAGTCACCTGTACAGCTATGGAGACCCGGCCGGTAAGAACCATACACAAAGTGTTGACTGCTGGCTCTTGGTCTTCTTCAGTTCTTGTAGGAGACGTCGAATTCCGACTGCAATGTTGGGGATTGGACCACCGATGTCACTATCCAAAAGTTACATCTTCCGCTGCAACACAATTGTCACAAGAGATAGGTAGTTTATCAGCGCTCGGGTCAGGACCATTATTCTTCGAATTTCGGTCGGTAGCATCGCGATTCATCACCTAAATTGCTCTCTTGTGCTTTTGTAAAGTCGAACCCGGCTGACTGTGTTGCTACTGATCGTGGCAGAGGTGGTGGTATTAGTGGTAGTGACATAGTTTGGTATTGGTGGCGTGACATGGCTTGCATTGTTAGGCTCGAGGTGTTCTGTGCTGCGTGGTGTTAAGCTTCTCGCTGAACTTCCGAAACCACGCTAATATGATCGCTGAACCCAACCCCTGAACCCTAACACCCTGAACTCTGAATGCGAACACCCCAAACTCTGAACCCTAAACCCCCCCTACTCTGAACCCTAAACCCTTAAACCCTGAAACCTAAACACTGAGTTGAGAGCTGGCAAGGATGCTTTGCCTACGTTTCTGACTATCTTTGGCATCGTGCGTGACCAGTACTTCTACCTTGGTGAGTCGATCGTCAGCGCTGTCCCTGAGGCGGAATCGAGCTCCGGGCCTCGTATTACTCTTAGGGGTACTTAGAAGACTTAGAAATAATTTTGAGTTTTTGGTTAATATACTCCCCAAGAAACAGCTAATTAAAATTATCATTGTTGCTAGGGTTCCAAGTTCAGTATAGGTATTTATGATCTCTGTTTAGGGTTTAGGGTTTATAGGGTTTAGGTCATTAGGAGTTTAGGGTTTAGGGGTTTAGGGGTTTAGGGTTTATAGGGCTTAGGTCACTAGGAGTATAGGGTTTAGGATACCCTAAACCCTAAACGGTCTAAGGCAGTGGTATTTCCCGCAACGTAGTCGGGTTCAGTCCACATCTCAGGAGCCCCAGTGCTGAAAAATCCAGGCCCTATGAGCCACCCCGTAAACGCTATAAACGCGAAGCCCGGAACCATCAGCTACCGTGAATGGGGACCCCTACCCTACAGTGGGCTATATAATAGGTATATAATAGCTATATTAAGGGTATATAATATACCAGCTACACTGGTACATGGATCTTCCGATTTGCTATGTGCGATGCTTACTTAGCAGCAAGCAGGTCTTTCTGCTGGCTGCAGACGGCATGGTAGACGGGCCTTGGTAATTCGTAGTGGCACCCCCTTGATAGTCCCTACCGCTCTGAAAAGCTACCTGTTCTAGGGCCTAGGGTTCCTTAATTACCTAGAGGCTCCATAGTAGTTCCTTTTTGGGGTTCATAGCCTATGGGTAAGGCCCTTTCTTATGGCTCCTTAAAACGGTAAGCTTTTGCTGCTGTGAGCTCGGAGTCGACATCGGCAACTAAACCCATGACGCCAAAGCCCCACACCACAGGGAACACCGCAATGCAGAGACCCTAATAATTAGAACAGGGCTTGGGGGTATAGGCCCCTACATGAGCTCAAACGCGAAACCTTGAACAGTCAAGCTTAAATGTCAACAGCCATTGCCCCTCTACACATCGGGTCCAGGAACTTAGGCCTAAACCCTAAACCCCTAAACCCTGGTGTTCCACCTGACCTTTGGGGCAGACGGAAAAGAGGGTTCAAAAAAAAACCTAAACCCCTAAACCCTAAACCCCTAAACCGCTCAGCCAGCACCCATGGCACCCATCATTGTTCGGCCCTTGGGCTTTGGGCTTTTTCCCTAAGGGTCCAAAGGACCCAATAATTGTGTACTTAGGTTTCGGATAGTAGTTATGTAGCTTAGTATTTGGGAGAGTATATGATTATTAGCTACTTGGACCCTTCGGGTTTGGGATTTGTGAAGCTTGCAAACAGTTGGAAGACTCAAAGGCCAGGTATTAAGGGTTACGGCTACACGGTGTCTTACTACACGAGCGTGTTTAAGGGATGTAGGAGTCCCTTGGAAGCCTAAAACGGCAGACACCGCGTGTATAATGCAACTACAACCCAAGTATAACTCTGGTAAACTACAGCCGCCGTACAAATCCATGCCTTTAATACCGCTGTAAGCACGAACTCAACAGCCACGAAAGCAGGCCATGGCTGGTTTAGTCAGCAGCTTCGTTGTGAACGAGCTGGCGGACAGTAGCAATTGTGCATCTCGGCTGCGGGTGGCGGGTTCTTACAGTCTTAGCATTCTTCTTGGGGTTTAAGGGGTTCTTTGAGGGTTTCTTAGTCTTTCAAGGCTCTATAAGGCTGGTTGCAGTTTCTCAGTTTGGGGTTTCCGAGATTGGGGTTCAGGCTTCGGGATTTAGCTAGGGCAACCCTAAGCGCCGGGTTTCCGAACCCCTATAAACCCTACGCTCTTGGTTTGTGGATCTACA